GGTCCTGCCGCACATCACCTCCGGCAAGCTGCTCAACATTGCAGTGGCCGACCCCAAGCGTTCGCCATTGCAGCCCAATGTGCCCACGCTGGCTGAAGCCGGTGTCGCTGACGTGAACGTCGGTGCATGGCAAGGCCTGATGGGCCCCAAGGGCATGCCTGCGGATGTGGTGCGCACGCTCAACGCCAACATGAACGACATCCTCAAGATGTCTGACGTGCAGGCCAAGATGGTTACCCTGGCCCTGGTGCCTGTGGGCGGCGACCCTGCCACGCTGGGCAAGCTCAATGCGTTTGACCACAACCGCTACGCCAAGGTCATCAAGGAGTTCGGCATCCAGGCTGAATAAGCTGCTGCAGTCCTCATGTCGGCGTTAGCGCGCCGTGCAATTCAAAAAGGCCCTTGACGGGCCTTTTTTGTTTATATTTCCAAAGTGGGGATAAACCTATTGCTCTGAAAGGGCAGGGAGGCTGATGATGAATGTAATTAGTAAAAGCATGTACGCGGCAGTTTTGGTTGTCTCAGGGTCCAGCCTTGCCTTTGCACAAAGTGTTGAGCCAATTAAAAGTGATGATGTACTGAAGTGGAGGATCATCGAACTTGTAGCTCTTGGTCAGGGCTTTGTTGAGGGTGCGGAAACGGCTGAGTCTGCTGCGGTCAAAGTCGATGCACCGACTGGCGAACGTCTTTACCTGTATGCAAAGGAAAACTCAAACGCAGAGTCAAATGGCGTGAGTCTTCGGAAAAGCAGGCTCTTTGGTACTTTGCAAAGAAACCGGTACGTCTTTGCAAAAGATGAGGCTGTTGATGTAATTCCGGAGAAGTTCTCCATCGGAGAAAAATGGAAAGAGACGGTGTGGTTTAACAGCAATCGCTGTGGGCGCGGGAAAAGCGAATATGACGTGACGGTTGGTCGGGGGCCGGAGGTCGTTGTAAAAGTAAAGGGAACTCCAACCAAGGTCCCGACTCTTGAAGTTGCTCGCGAGGGCACGTGGTTCAATCCTCGATGCGGTGGCTCGGGAACGGTTTCAAGAAAAACTCTTTTTTCCCCTCAACTTAATGAGTTGGTTAGTCAAGAGTTCAAGACAATGGAGCGAGGGGCACCCTCTCGAGGGCAAAGAGTTGTTCTGGACTCCGTTGACTGACAAGCCCCTGGCAGGCAACAAATAAGAAGCCTAATTTTTTGAGAGATCGTTGGCGTTGAATGGATTTCGATAGTTCGGGATGCGAGATGTATAAACAGTCCCCATGACCAGCACCCCACCGAATTTTGAAGAAGCAAAACGCGCTTTCCTTGCAGGGATTGAGCATTACGAAGCAGGCCGCTTTGCTGAGGCGCGCAGCCGTTTTGAAGAGGCGCTGGCCCGTGTACCAGGCCGGGTCTCCACCCTGGGCAACCTGGCGGCCACGCTGCTCAAGCTGGGTGAGCCCCAGGCGGCATTGGCGCTGCTGGAACAGGCCATAGCTGCTGATTCTGCGTATCTCGATGCGTGGCTGCACCGTGCCGAGGCACTTGTGGCATTGGGCCGCCATGACGATGCGCTCGCCAGCCTCGACAGCGCGCTGGCCCTGAAGCCCGACAGCGTGCCGGCCCTGTACGAGCGCAGCGTGTTGCTCAGCCGCATGGGCCGCCATGCCGAATCGCTGGCCGCAAGCGCCCGGCTGGTCGCGCGAGAGCGGCACAACACCGACGGCTGGGCCATTCGTGCCGAAGCCCTGCATCGGCTGGAGCGGCTTGAAGATGCGCTGCGGGCGTTTGACACCCTGCTTGAGATCGACCCCAAAATGCATCGGGCCTGGAGCCAGCGCGCCGCCATCCTCAAGGACCTGGGCTACCGCGACGATGCCGCGGCGTCTTTCCGCAAGGCCATTGCGCTGGGCGGTGACGCGGCCCTCAACGGCTACTTTCTCGCATCACTGACAGGTGAAGGCGCACCGGTCACTGCGCCGCCGCAGTATGTCGAGGCGCTCTTCGACGACTATGCGGGGCTGTTCGACACGC